AAATCCTGGGGAGCACTGGCCATGCTGGGGGTCTCACCTTAGCAAGCTCTGGATTGGCACTCAACTCCGGGTGCCCCTTAGAACCACCTGGGGTGCTTCAGGGAGATGCCCAGGTGCCACCCCAGACTCCGCCTTCTCAATCTCCTGGGGTTAGGGGCACCCGCATGGGTGTTTTCAAAAGCTTCTGAGATGATTGTAGCATGAAGTCAAGGCTGAGAACCTCTGCTCAGATAAACGACAGGAGCGACTGTCGTGTTTAACTGCTTGATCCTTGATTTGAACACAGCTGCCAGTTTGCCTTATCACACATCAGCGTGTGTACATACTCTCATTGATGCACAGCCGCTCACCTTAGGAACGGTTCTCACCTTCTCTCTAGGTTGTTAAAATTGGGTTGCATATTAAATCTGCTCGTGTGTCTGCATGTCGGCAGGGCCCATCTCCTGAGTCAGGCACTGCCATCAACACCAGGACTGTCCTTGCTTAAAGAGGTAACTTTTTTCCAGGGTCTTCTGTTTCCAATCTAAATTAAGATTTCCTCCCTAAAAAATTCCTGTTTTCACAACTATAGACATAGGGAAGGAAGCGGGTAAGATGAAAGGAAATCAGCCACTTGCATTTTGGGTTTTGGTTTGAGTCAGTTCCCTTCTTGTTTTTATTTAATGCCATCATATTATATCAGCATTTGCCAGAATATTTTTAAAACGTCCTTTCTCTCCAGCTTCAGTTCAAGAGGAAGTGGCGAAGGCCACAGACTCAGCCCACCTTCAATGGCACACTCACACACTTGGCACAAAGAAGAAGATGCAGTCTCCCACCCAGGCCTCCAGACCTGCAACCCAGCCCACCACTCACATTCTGAACACCCTGAGCCTGGGTCTCGACGACATGTAGTCAACACATATTCTCAGTCTTACTCATCCGAGGGGGACCAGCAACAGAATTTGAGCCACCAAGTTTCCATTCACTCCCAAAACGTGCTGAGAAATCCTAGGTTGTATTTTCAGTTTAGCTTCTGACTTAGGTAAGTCATTTACTGCTCGATTTTCTCTAGCTCAGTTTTCCCATTGGAATAACGGGAATGTTTGTCATCCACTTCACAGGGTGACAACTGACTTATTGATAGTTAAGGTCACTGGATGAAAGGTATTGTTTATAAGCACAGAGTGTTATTATTTAGTAATCACTGAGTTGGTAAACGGATTCATGCGTAAGGAATTTTTGGAAGAGCTTTAAGGAATAACAGCAGCGGAAATAATAGCTAGATATGTTTTTGAAAATATCTTTTAGATCTACCAACTTAGAAAAAGTTCCAAATATTAGATATTGTTTCTGAAAGCACCTAAATTACATTCTTATTATTTTTTGTCTAGAGCTACAGAAAGATTCATGGAGAGGAAAGTAAGGTTCCGGGGGTTTCAACTCGGGGACCTTGATTTCCCATCCCCTGGCTGCCCAGCCTTCTTAGTCACGATTCCACAAACGTGCCTGCAGCTGTGGGGACAGTTGGAGAGACCTGTTGCCTTTCTAGTCCCCGCTGACATTTTGCAGTGTCTCTTTTGATTGACACTGTGAACGGGCGTTACCTCTCTGGCCTGGCCCTGGCTGTCCTAAGGGTGTGGTCACTTGAGCAGGGAGCTGGAGAGATTTAGGTGGGGGCTTCTAACCAGAGAGGTTGGTCCCTTACAAGCTGTCACACCATAGAAAGAGAAGACCTTTGGCTAAGGAAGAGAGGCTGACTGGTACAGGCGATTGTACTCTTGTAGAAAGGCAGGATGCAGGAACCCTAGAAAGTTCCCTGGGGTCCCTCGGCGGGCCCTATAAGACAGGTTCCCACCTGGTATAGGGATGGAACGTCCCACTTGTCCTTCTGTGTGTGTCACTGAAAGGAAGCAATATTTAGAGCTGATCTAACCCCACCCCCTGCAATTCAGCCTGCTGAACGCCAACAAAACCACGCATAGCATGTAAAGATCAGGCCCTTCTGACGTTGATGTGTGAAGAGAAGTGGGCACTAGACTGAATAAAACCTTTGCTGTTGCTCTATGGAGACCACGAACATGGATTACAACGAAATTACAAAATTACTTTAACCACTGTTGTTTATGCGCTCCCACCGAGGGAAAACAAAGTTGCTGAAACAGAAGTGTGTTTCCCAAAGGAAAAAGCAGTTTCCTCTTTGGTGACCTGAGAAAGTTTACCACAACTCCATTCAAAACCTTCAGGCACTTGACTTTTTTTTTTTTAATATCCTTTACCTTTTTAATAAAAAGTAAAAAACAAACAAAAAAATACATCAATGTCCTGAATAGAACCTCTCTATGTAAAGGTCTCACTAAACAAATAAACATAGGACCAGACAAAAGAAACGGAGCTGCGAATAGCAATATGATATATTATGAAGCATTTGTATATGTATGTATATATTATATATGAATGTGCGCGTATATGTGTGTGCACCTATGTATGTATAAATATGTAAATATTTGCCTACATACGTCACACACACACACATATATTTATACTGACCTCTTTAGATTGAAGTCCAAGGCACTTTTTACAATGAACAGGTTAAAGCCATTAATTTAGAACATAACTGTTTCTGGGTACATATCGATTTATGGCGCCAATGTCACAATTCACATCTTTTCTTGCTCACCTTAGAGTGTCTCTGGTTGGTGTAATGAATGAGAGAATTGGTTTAAAAGGAGATTAGGAATGTTTCTAGATGGTTAATCTAACTTCTCTGGCTAGTTTTCCCTAGGGAGGAGAGTTCTCACTGGCGGGAGGCAGAGCTTCTCCGGGAAGGAATACAGAGGCAGCTATTTCTGCACCATACTGAGCAGAGACCCAGGTGTCCTTCCAGGGGACCTGCCCTGAGAGGCCACCTGATTTTCTGATGGCCCTGCCAGCATAGGCTAAAATGAAAAACCTAAAAAGGGGCTTTGAGATGGCTCAAGGCTATGAATGGAGCATGTAAAAAATTAGACTGGAAAAAGACCGCCTCTTTTTGTATACCACCCAAGCTACAGGACCTCAAGTGGAATTTTAAGATCTATCTATTTTTATCCTTATGATCATACAGGACCTTTACTTCATCAAGTAATTCTGTAAATGGGGATCAAGGAAGAAATGGTTTAATTTTCCAATTTTTAATGCTGTTGGTTACCATTGCTGTGTGGTGAGGCCAGTGCCTCTCAATATTTAATGTGCATACAGATCAATTGGGGATCTTGTTAAAATGCTGAATTTGATTAGAGAGGTCTGGTGTGGGGCCCAAGTCTCTGCATTTCTAACAAATGCAGAGGTGATGCTAATGCTGCTGGTCCATGGACCATGCTTTGAGAAGCAAGGGTTAGCATCTAGCCACATACCTGAATCACTGTCAAGAGGTCTGCTTTCCCCAAATCAGGAATTTGTATTGGTTTCCTTGATTCTAGATTGAAAAACAACTTTGAGGGGAAAAATCAGAATATATTCGTTCTCTATAAATGTAAAAGTCTTAGTCAGTCTGAGAAGTGCTAGAAGGAAAAGCCAAAAGAGATAGTTCTATTTAGTAGCAGAAAAGTATTAAGAGACAAATCAATTACCACCAGTACATTCATCGGTCAATTATAAAATTGAGAATAAACTAATTTCCATGACACAGTGAGTGAGTAACCTGCTAAAAACAGGTGCCCTGGAGTTCTGATGGCTTTAATGGAGCTCAGCCTAACCTGGAACTGAGGAGCAGTACAGACACTGAGAGAATTTAGCTCAGTAAAAACAAAATGTGTTTACAAGCTAGATCTCAGCTACAGAAGCGGACTGAAGCTGGGCATTTAGATATTTCTCTTTCAGGCAGCATGGATAATTAATATCATTGAGGCCCAAGGCTTATCTACATTTAAGCTCAAATAAATGGAAGTTTGAGAGGATTCCAGCCCTTTCCCCAGGAGAAAACCTGTTGCTCTCACTGGCCGTGTATCTGTGTGAATTTTCAGAGTTTGTGAGGGGAAGAGATACACATGCTCAGTTCACTCAACTTTGACGAGCCTTGGTTTGCACCTGTACAATATTACTCCCAAGTGATGGTGACAAGTGAGGGTCCCCCTTGGGAGGAGGCTGACTGATTCAAGGAAACCTTTGCTCTGTAACCAAACATATCCTGTTTTCATCTAGAAATGGTCCATTGGTCATTGAGAAGAGGGAAGCGAGAAATTCTACATGTGTGTCTCAACTGCTATATCAGAGGAAGGGAATGGATTTCATAGTTGCTTAAGCAGAGAATTTCTCCAAATTTTGCCAATAAAAGAAAACATCTTGACTGAAACTCATTCTTTCCTCCCACCTAGAGTAAACTAGCAGAAAAGGAAGCCCAGCTCTTTGCTGGATCTTGCTGTGCACGTCCTGCCTCCCCTCCTCATTCCCTTAGGAGCTGTGCTCTGTGTTGTGGATAAACACGTGGAACCCTCATGCCCTCCAGAGCACTGCCAACTCAGAAAAGCACACTGGGCTCTCATTGGGCCCTGTGTCAATGGAATGCCAATCCACATTTTACTGTAACATAGAGAAACTCATGATGCCTAGAATTTTGAGTCTTTTGTGTCACAGGAGAACAAGACTCTTCCTTATGCCCAATTCTGACATTGCTAAAGGAAAACTGGTTGGCTGAGCTTGAGACTTATAGAATTTATGTAAAGGGGTCTTTGCATTTATCTAGAAAGAGGCTGCACTTTTATTAAGGTGGTTTTGCACAGCTACTAAAGGAGTAATGGCTTTTAAAATCTCTTCTGAAATGGCTTGGTAGAATTTAGGGTAGTATTATTCTTCTAAGCTTGGAATAATGTTCTTTAGTCTCTAATAGTCATGTCTTGGAGAATTAGAATATGGCAGTTCTGTAGGCTGAGGACGCTCGGTCTGGGCGTCAGGCAATCACTAACCATGATGTGTACTCAGAAACAGTCGTTGGGTGAGCAGGCTGACACTTGACCTGCTAAAGACTAGTTTGATACAAAATGTTAATTGAAAGTTACAATATATTTTATAATATAGCAATATATTTCATATTTAAAATAAACTGTTATGCTTTCTCCTATCATTAAAAAATAGCAAGCAGTACAGAGGCAAGATGCAAATTCATATCGAAGCCCATCTGATTCTGAATATAAACACTTCAGTTTCTGAGTTTGCCATGAAAATGTTTCCTCCATTAACATCCTGTCACTCTCTTTTGTTGCTCTCTTCTGGTCAGTGCAGAATAGAGAGTCTGGGACCAAAACTGAGTTGTTGCGCCATTAAAAAGTGTGTCTGATGAAGGTGGATCGGTCCTGGACGAGATTCGAGAGAATGTTGTTTATTCCCTGTCCTCCTTCGGTGAACCTGGACGTTGGCCGTTCCAATCAGATTCGTACTTGATTTGTCACTGATTTTTTTTTCTTGGCTATAAATTCAGCATCTCTTTGGGATCCTAACTAAGGTTGGCATTGAATTTTGTGCTTTTCCTTCACCAGCTTGGTTGGTCACAACGTCTCTTTTGTTTGTTTCAACACATAGTCCAGGCCCAAGATTACAGCTTCCAGAATGCGTTTCTCAGGTGTGTAAACAACTGTCACAGGGCACTTGGCACCTAGGTTTGGAGGTCATACGTTGAAGATTTGATAATGGTTTTGTTCAGAGGGAACTCCAGTTCATGTTGGGGTGTTTCCAGTAATGGTGTAAGAAAAAGAGATCACAGTTATTTTTTTCTCTATCTGTATATATTTATATACCATTGCGCTGAGTACTTTTTAATAAGCTTCGGTCTATTTCAGTAAAACATCTACATATTACTTGTCTGACAGGAGTTTAATGCTAGTTTCTATTTATGCAGCCTGGCACAAGCTTTCAGGGTGAAGAATACTCTGCTATATTCCACTACCAGAGGCAGACAGTTAATATTGCTAACCCTGGACCATTCCTTCTTAGTGGTATCCATGATCCCATTCCCATAATGTTTCCTCTGGTGGCAGTAGAGAAGGAAGGGATACTGCCCAGGGCGTCATCAAACCAGCTGACTGCAGGGGGAGGCAAGGAAGGAATGGCTACCAGGAAACCGCCAGGTAGCTGTCTAAGGTACTGAAACTGAACGCCACACAGAGTCAACAGGGACAGCAAGATGACCACTATCGATCCTCAATCTGCTTCTAAGCAACTTCCAGGGAAGTAGAATGACTGTATAGAAGTGGGGACATATTTTAAGATTTAAAAGCAGTAACTTAAAAAGAGTAGTAACCTACTGGTAGTGCAATGACTTTATAGTGTCTCAGTTGTGGTACTATGACGGTAGCAACACCATTTGTTCTGGGATGAAACACTGATTCTTAATTTGGGGTGCACCGTTTGTTGAGGTACATCCTGAAGGAAGAGAGAGGTCCTGGAACTATGTACCAATCCCATATTTCCCCCTGCTAATTTCACTACCTAGTTGATATGTAATAATTACTTTTTGGTACTACTGACTGCATTCAGATGCAACATCAAAATGTGGACTAGGTAGAGTTGGTCTGGGCTGCTACTGATGACAACAGTGATTCCATTTTTTAATCTATTGAATACTTTGTTTTTAGAATATTAACTATTATCTTCACTTTAAGTACAGAGAAGTTGAGGTATGAGGTGGTTAGATTCATTGGCCAAAGCTGTGGATCCAGTATTAGAGTTTTATTTATTCTGATTCTGTATCTCTAGTTTTCTTCTTTTCCATAATTATTTATTCACAAGGAAATTACTGAAAATCTAAGGGGGAAATCCTCAAATATACTAAAATCATCATTTCTTCAATACTGTTCTTCCTTGGTCTTTGATAAATAACAATAGCTTGCACTTGCTTAGCAGTTTAGAATTTACTGACACATACATTTTCTATACCTCCTCATTTACGAGATTGTTACCACTGGTACTTGCTGACTTCAGAAGTTAGTGGTGACTCAGGGCCTCACCCCTCTTGTCCTTTTGGATTGTATTAAGCATTTATAGAGATATGATGTCATGAGGTTACATATTATGAGGATGGCAAGAGCAGTTCATGGACACTTTACGACAATTTATTGATGATGATCACACATATGTGGCCTTTGATCCAAAGGTGCAGATTTTTATTTGGACTTCAATCTAAGGAGGAATGAGCCCCTAATCTGGTATAATTTATCAACTGATGCTATGTCCTGAAATTCCACTGAGATTAGTGGTCTTAAATTATCACAGTACATCCCTGACTTTACAGTACATGAAGCTATAATATGGCTTAAGCGATGAGGGGGTGGCTTGTAGTTTTAATTCAAGTGTCTAGATATTTTAGGGAATATTAGTGTACTTTGACCTGTCAGTGAATTATCAGAAAGGTTATAGTAAGGGCTCTGCCACTGGGTCAGCCTTCCAGGAGTGGGCAGAACTCAATCAGTTCGGTGTTGGAGTGAGTTTACCATAATTAATGGTTTTTACATATAGCCAATTCTTGAGCAGATAATCAAAGCTCCTCCACCATCAAACTTGAAAATAAGGAACAGAAGGCACGGCATGAGAATCCACCTGCCTCCTGTCCCATCGGACTGCGATGTTGAGGAACAGTAGAATTAGCCAAAAGATGGGCTGTAGGAAGAAAGCCTGGGTGAGCTGCACCCTGGATAATCAATATCTAAGTCATCAAGGATTGACTGTACTTGGAGTAGAATGGGTAACTTCCCCACGTAAAGCTGAAATACTAGTACAGAGAAGCAGCCTCTCATTTACCATTGTAGGATCAACATGCAGATTCAATCTTTTTTTCCTGAAGAGTAAGTATTCTTTTTTGCCAAGGATAAAAACCATACATAGCTATTGCACTACCAATAGGTCAAGTCATGCTGCAAATGCTCATGTGTTTCTAGGATGCCAGTGGCTACTGCTACTAGAAATAACTCCACCGCTCCCTTCACTAGTGTTGCTAGCTTGGTCTTCAGGGCTTACCTAAGTGCACAGCGTTAATGACGGGCTAAAGAGGAAGTACCCACAGACTATGAGGACCCATGGCAGTCTGTGCACACTTTCGGGTAGGAGAAGTGGCAGTGGAACCTTGTGGGTCATTTATTTGAAATTAAGATTAAATCCCTACATGTGTGCACATGCACACACACACACATCACAGAGTTACAGCAGAATGGAAAGGGCAAATAGGAATTAATAGCCGAGGGCTGTAGGTTAAACGACCAATATTGGCACACTCAGGTCAACCTGTCAATGGTCTTCACTTTGTGAAACGGAACTAACGCCAAAAAGAAACTGTATGGTTATTTCATCTGTTTATATGTTTGGCTGAACTGTCACTGAAAACAGGAGCACCGTTCTTGGGACATAAAAAAGGAGGGGGTCCCTCAGGTCATCAATAGTTAAAAGAACAAGCAAAAAAATAAAAAGCCAACAGCAAGTGTGGCATCTATGGTTTGCGAAACAATCAATGAAAACGTTCCAAGGAGTTATCAGGATAAACATGAGGCCATTAAAGGAACAACCGCAATAAAAAGAAATAGAAGAAGTTTAGCAAGAGACTAAATCTTCTTGAAAGAGTGGCCTTAGTTCTGGGGTCGTCTTCATTTTGCTGTCCAATGACTCCCTCGTCCTTAGAAGGCCAGACCCAGCGCTGCAGAAGAAAAACCTGCGCAGCTAGACCCTGCCTTCAGAACGGCGACGATGTTCTGCACAAAACAAAACCCAACAGGACAACCACATGGAAATGACACCCTTGCGTTTTTACCCTGAACAGATGAAATATTCCATACAGCATCATTTAACTCCCCGCCAGGAGAAGTCAAAACCTCAGAATGAGAAAAGTGATGAGAAGCATGATGGCTTTCACATCACAAATGTTACATGTGGTTAGATTATGGAGCAATGAAGAAGGTTCGCATCCACATGCCCTCTCCTCACAGTGTCTGCCACTGCACTGCCCTCGATGTTTCTGAAGTCTCTGGCATCTGTGAGATATTAGAATAGTTTTTGCACCAAGATTAACATGGCACAGTAGGAACAGGCAACTGAGGAATCCACATCATCTTACCTTACCCGCAAGGTGCCCTAAGGGCTCCCTTTATTCTCATAATCTTTCATTTTGAGATGGTTTCAGGTCAGGTAGAAGGGACCACATGGGCCACTTGCCATCACTTCTCCTCCCAGCTCAGCAGCACTCAGCTGAGGCACTTGACCCCTTTGCACGCTTAACTTCTGGAGCTGGAACTCTGTTTCTGGATAAATATAGCTGAGCAAACCCCAGACAAGATTTCTATTCACTCAGGTGTCACTGGGTTGCACCTGTTTGTGCGTGTGTGCACACAGGCACAGATCCTGTCCCCCTTACCTCACATACATACACCTGGTCTTGTGCTCCATGGAACACAGCATGTTTGAATATAAGAAGAAAACTCTGCAGAAGCTGTTATTTCTAGAAGATTGCTTATCCCTCCAGAATGCCAACAATTTTAGCTTGGCATTCATCTCAAACCAAGCATGGTGCACAACCAGGGTGAAGCAACCTGTATTGTGTTCGAAGGAACCTGCATCTTCAGTGAAGCTCAGAATGTGGCCGACACTAGCAAACTACCTGACCCGAAAGCACCCACACTGGATTCATCCCAACTCAATACACATCTAGAGAGGTCCTACTGTGTGCAGGGGAAGGGACCAGGTCCCTTTCTATTTAGGTCAAGTTAAAACAAGAAAAGACCTGGGTTGAATGTGAGACGTGGATGTGCGTGTGTGTGTGTGTGTGTGTGTGCACACATGCGCACATGCTTGCAAACACGCAGGTGGGTATTAATATTGGGTGGAAAATCTGGTTTTTTAGTTGTCTGTCTTTTTTTTCCATCTAAATTGAGTTTTGGGACTGTATAATATATAGCAGGAAAGAATGTCTATTTTGGCAAGTTGTGGGCAACTCTCTTTTGCTTTTGTCATCCAGAAACTTCCTTAGACAAAAGGAAAGGAGAGAGGTGTGCTCCAGGACCCCAGCAGTGAGGAAACCATCCCCCAGGCCTGACGTGACCCCCTCCCCCAGCGGGACCCTCTTCTGGGCTGGCTTCACTGTTGGCCACTTCAGTGCATCTGACCCCCCACCCCCCCAAGTGAAGACCTGAGATTGAGCGTGGATTTCTGTTCTCCACCAACTCTGCAGCAAGGGCCCTGCCAGAGGCGTCGCTTCCTGTCATCTCCTCTTCCTGCTCCCAAGTAGAGGCACCTAGACAGAGATTAGATTTCTGGTTTCAAGGCATATCGAACCAAGCACGCTGAATGAACATGAGTTAGTTAATTAGCTCGGTCTCTCTTCTTTACGTTCCCTGGTCTGATTGTTCCTCGATGGCAAATGACCAGGAGAGAGTTGATTTGCATCTTAAGACCTATGGGTAATGCTTCTGGAGTGGGGAGTTTTATTTAGCAACTGCTTGAACTTGTGTACGGGGTCGGGAAGGAGGTGGAGCTGACCCCGATTGGGCTGTCGGAGAGTGGGGTGTGGGTGGTGCCCACGGCCACGCTGACACCCCGGGCCTCGATGATGGCCGACAGGAGCTGCTGCTGCTGTTGACGCAGGGTGTCTGCGATGAGCAGGGGCAGGGAATTGAAGGTGGCGGTGAGATGCTCCAGCTTAGCCTCCAGGCTGCCAATTTGCTTCTCCAGGTCTTCGCTCCGATCGTTGAGTTCTGTGATTAAGTCATACATGACGTTCTGCATCTGTATGGAGAGAGAGAGAGAGGAGAGACAGGGAGACCGGAGGTCATCACAGAGGAACCTGCCGTGGGACAAATGAAATACTCCTCCCAATGACAAGGGGAGGAACTTCCACACCAACTGTGTCTGATCTGGCCAAGGAAGGAGAAGCAGTTTACCTTCCTGGAGCCGTGGAGACTCAAGTGGGAACTTTTTTTTTGTATTTACAGAAGTAGTGCATATTAATTATAACAATATGTTAGAAAATATGTGTAATGGAAAAGAAGCAGCACTTTTTTCTTAAATAGAGTGTCTCTAAACTGTCATGTTCTTGCTACACCCAACCTCTCAGCTCACATGGCTGCTGGCCCCTAACGATTAGAGGCACCCATTTTCAACACAGCAGCCAGAACATACGATATACATCATAACCCACTCCTCGGGCATGGGCCACAGCCAGACGGAGCTGCCTCGCCCAGGTTACAGCTCCTCCCCTGCCTGGTCCGTGAGGAGGTACACTGCCTCAATCTGAGACATCCACAAAGGGCAACCGCACTCCAGAGCACCCACAGGTCAGCTGAGGTCTTTGTCGATCGTTTTGCAGTTCAAGCCCTCCCTCTGCCCCGTCCGTCCGCTTCCCTCACACCCTGACAGGCGTTGTCCTGAGGGCGCCCCACCTCCTGCACTCAGTGCTATCTCCCAGTGTTCCAGGGACCGGCCTGCTCACAGCACTCCCCCACACACCCCAGGGCCTACAGCCTCGCCTCCTCCAAGCCTCCCCTTAAAAGTCGCCTTCTCCATGAAGCCTCCCCCAGGCCCTGCTTAATGCCGCACCTTGTCCCCACCCCAACCCCTGATCCCGCTAACCCTGCTCAATGTTTTTCTTTTTTTCCTACCACCTTCTAATACACTAGCTAATTTCCTATTTCTTCCAGTTATTGTTGTTGTCTGTTGCCCCATTAGAAGGAAAGCTCCTCCAGGGCAGCGACCATAGCCTGTGGTGTGCACTGATGTGTCCCAAGGGCACACAGGAGATGCTCAAGTAACACTTTTTTAAATTAATTAATTTTTTTGTGAGGAAGATTGGCCCTGAGATAACATCCACTGTCAATCCTCCTCTTATTTTTCTTGAGGAAGAGTCACCCTGAGCTAACATCTGTGCCCATCTTCCTCTACTTTGTGTGTGGGATGCCTCCACAGCATGGCTGATGAGTGGAGTAGGTCCGCACCCAGGATCCGAACCTGCAAACCCCTGGCTGCTGGAGTGGAGCATGCAGAACTTTAACTATGCGGCCATGGGGACGGCCTCGCAAGTAATATTTTTTGATGGACGAATATACATAAATGTGCCTAGCAAGGGTGGTCTGTGTATATAATTGGCACTAAAAGATGTTGGTAAAGCAAACGAATCAATAAAGCCCCAGCACAGGTGAAATCACCATCTCTTCCATCCTTTGGCCAAGGTAGGAGCTTTACTGAAGGGGAAAGACCTTTTGCATCACAAATTATTTCCACTTACACAGGAGGTTTCTCAGGGTTTACCACCGAGATCTGAGTGGCTGAGGAAAGGAAAGAAAACTCCAAAGGGGGCCCAGCCCAGGCCCTGCCTCTGTGGAGCAGGTGTTCGGTAGGCTTTTTTTTTTTTGAGGAAAATTAGTCCTGAGCTAACTACTGCTAATCCTCCTCTTTTTGCTGAGGAAGACTGGTCCTGAGCTAACATCCATGCCCATCTCCCTCTACTTTATACGAGGGACGTCTACCACAGCATGGCTTTTGCCAAGCGGTGCCATGTCCACACTGGGATCTGAACCAGCGAACCCCGGGCTGCCGAGAAGCAGAACGTGCGAACTTAACTGCTGCGCCACCCGGCAGCACCCCCTCTTTTTTTTTTTTTTAAAGATTGGCACCTGACCTAACATCTGTTGCCAATCTTCTTTTTTTTTCCTTCTCCCCAAAGCCCCCCTGTACATAGTTGTGCATTCTAGTTGTAGGACCTTCTGGTTGTGCTATGTGGGACACCACCTCAGCATGGCCTGATGAGTGGTGCCATGTCCATGCCCAGATCCGAACTAGTGAAACCCTGGGCTGCGGAAGCAGAGCGCACGAACTCAACCACTTGGCCACGGGGCCGGCCCCCTCGGTAAGCTTTTGTGAATGAACGTGAAGGAAGTCTTGAGAGCAGAAATGGGGTGACTCCAGGGAACTGCAAATAAAGTGAAATTTAAAAGTAATCAAATAAATGTGCCTTCTGAAAGTTAAGTCATAAAACCAGGTCAGAGCAGAGCTAAACAAAGGGAGCTCTTGCCAAGTGCACCATTTTCCTTCCTAAATCTGTTCTTCGCCAGTGCTCCCTGTCTCCATGAAAGGCACTGCCATTCACTCAAGCTGTCCCGACCAAAAGCTGGGCGTCATCCTCTCCCTCATCCCTCACATCTCACCAGTACGACGTCCTGCCCACATACCTGCAAACATCCCTCAAATGCAATCCATTTAATAGCAGCTAAGCCACTCTAGTTCCATCCAGCACCATCCAGCAGGCTGCGATACCCTCAAGGGAGTCACGTCCCATGGTTCTGTCTCCACTCTTCCCAGCCAACTTTCTGATTATAATTCGGCTTCCCGGGTTGGCCTGCAGAGCCCTCATCCATGTGACAACCACATTTCTTCCCACAATTAACCAATGACATCAGACTTGGGAGCGAGATTCACAGGGGTCCTCATGCTCCGGGTGTTCAGGAGTCAGGTTCCTGTGGCCGCAATGGCAGAGGGCCAGGCCGGCGTTTGCTTTGTCCCCACCTCCCCACCCCCTGCAAGTACTGTGGCTCTTGGGGCATCAGGTTTTCTGCCAGTGACACCCTGATCCTATTTCACCAGAAATTTCAAGTCACTCTAGGAATATTCAGAAACCACTGGTGCCCTGAGGGGCCAAGAGAGTAGGAAATAAGGTGAGAGGAATTAGAGAAGTAAAGGAAGCCGGGAGGGGGACTGAAAATGGAACCTTCCCAGCTGAGGACATGCCACACAATGAAATAGGCTGAGACCCCAAAAGGAGCCGTCACTGAGCTGGGATGAAAGCGGCTCTGCCATTGTGAGAAGAGGATACTGCATCACGGACGCCCTTGGAGGAGAGGGTGACTCTAGAAGTGAAGTGCTTCCTTCATTAATTAACATTTGCAGAACCTCCTTGAGGCTCACGTTCTTCCCAGAATGCACAAAACCACAAATGTACGTGACCACAGGGGCACCCTTACGAGCTCTGGACTGAGTCCGGGCCCCGGGGTCTCGGCCCCAGTGCTGCGCTCGCCAACTGCCTGACCTTGGGACGGTGACTTTGTTCCTTTGGATCTTGGTTCATAATATTCATAGATAATATTCATAATCTAACATCATAATGAGAACTACCATTTGCAAAACCTTTATAGTTTACAAAGCACTTTCACAGCTATTATCTTATTTGATCACTGGAGCTTCAGATGTCAGGAATTTTTTTTTTTTTTAAAGATTTTATTTTTTCCTTTTTCTCCCCAAAGCCCCCTGGTACATAGTTGTATATTCTTCATTGTGGGTTCTTCTAGTTGTGGCATGTGGGACGCTGCCTCAGCGTGGTTTGATGAGCAGTGTCATGTCCGCGCCCAGGATTAGAACCAATGAAACACTGGGCCACCTGCAGCGGAGCGCAAGAACTTAACCACTCGACCACGGGGCCAGCCCCAGGAATTATTTTTACATTTCAACTGAAGACATTGAAGCTAGCAAATAAAGAGTCCAAGGCCTCCCAGCTCTGCCATCCTACAAGATAGCTGTTCAATATAGAAAAGAACATTTGGGGACCACACGCCAGGTTCTTAATCTAGAGAGGACCAAAGGGCAGGGGTGGGAAGGTGGTGAGTTGGGAGGATGAAGCACAGAAAGAAAAGGCAGAGAACACGGCATTATTGTCTTCCCTGTTCCGCTGCTTGGTGACAGGATGCCAGGGGGAATGCGGACCAATGGGAAATATGCATGGTTTCTCTCAGGACCTTGGGTGAGTCTCCTGGGAGGAAAAGACAAAGGCTGGATGGATGTCAGAGTTCTCCCTCTCTCTAGGTCTCAGCACACCCCCTCCAGCCCTGTGGAAGTCCTCTCTTAATCCTCTCCTCTACACCCCTTTCTTTCCAGGTAACTCATTCCCAGATTACTGATGGTTTAGTTCCTCCACCCAGTTCACATGAGCCTCCTTCCAAGTCACTGAGGTTTTTGCTTTGCACAGTCTGCTCTGTGCTGGGCCCTGTCTCTGGGAGGGGCCCGGTGTGTCCTGCCAGGTCAGAGGTGAGGCGGGAAACATTGCTGGTTGTAGAAGAAACACCTTGGGTCATCTCCTTGGGCTATTTCTGCATCTCACATGTGTTTTCCCCACGTGACCCTCTTCCTGGCCACAGCTGATTGGTCTAAGGGTGGACACATGACCCTGACTGGCCAACCATCTCATCTCTTCTGAGAATTTAGAATTAAGACCACTGGCTAGACCTAGAAAGGGTCCTCTCTGGAGAGGGGCCTGCCATGGTCTGCCATGGAGACAGGAGGCATAGAAAGCTGTCAGGTGAGAGAGGATGGCGAGAAAGAAAGAGAGAACTGAAGAGGCACTGGAACAGGAGAAGAGAGGGTGAAAGAACACTTCCCGAGAGTGAGGGTTTCCCAGGTCTGGTTCTAGTTAGTTCCTCCCTGAGTCTGACCTCATGCCCGCTCTGAGGTTCTGCCTGGAATGAGACTTCCTGGTATCCTTATAACAAAGGACTCCATTTTTAAACCTAGTTGCAGTGGGTTTCTGAAACTAGAAGCCAAGAGTATTAACCAACACACCCAGACCCCAGGGAGTTCCCTCTTGCACTCCAGTGTCCCCTTCGTGTCCCCTCCCTTCAGGCTCCCAGGAGCCCGGCACTCCACTGCAACATCCCTCCAAAGGCACACAGGCCTGTGGGCTTCTCCCCACCTGTGCAAGCCACACATTCCCTGATTGAAGCCCCCCGGGTGGGGAGGCCCTTTCTTTGGCTTGATCCCTTCACTGAACAAGGCACCTGCACATGGCCCAACAACCAGCAATTTCTCTGATTGCACCCTCTTTTCAAAGGGTGCTTAATTTGCCTGAGGGAGTTTCTCTTGCTTACCCAGGGAATGTGTTCCATTATGATAATTGACATCTGCTGGAATGTTCTGCCAGCCTGGCCCTGGGCTGTACACTTGATACACAATTTCCATCAAGAGGCAATGAGAAGGGGCTGCGGAGGGGGAGGCCCTTTCTTCAATGGCACCTACTCAGCTCTGCCAGCAGTGCAGCCTCCAGTTCCTTCACTGCACTGATTTGCAAGAGGAGTGAGTTTCTCTACAGTGTTTACGGCAGTTCAGTGCCAGAGGCACAGAATGACAGTGTGACATCAAGCTGTAGGGCGCTCAAAGGAGGGCTCTCTTTTGGCATCCACATGTTCATTGTAGGCTATCTGCCACTTAAGAAAAAATGCAGCCCCCGCCCCCCCCCCCCCCCCCGCCCACCAATTTGCAACCAGAAAGCTTGGGTTGTAAGGACTGGAGGATGCAGAAAAATGAATTTCTAACTAAAACAGCAAACTGGAAGGATCTTCCTAGGTGTGACCTAGGCAGCATCCTCGCCATCATCGCCATTTGGCCTCATCAATGTGCTTCATCATGTGCAAACTTGAGCTCATCCTTAGGTGCCCTCAATATACAGCTAATAAAGCAACACACTGAGAAGATTTAGTAGGTCAGCTAATTAATTTCAAGCAAAGACAAACCTGAGCAATTGAATTTAAGAAACAAATGCCAGGTTTTAAAAAAACAAGACAAACTAGTAGATTGCAAATGTCAAGAACTTGAACCTAGATTATTTTTTAACCCAGGAGAAATCATTCTTTGCTTTCACTGTATAGCATGGACATGGCCAGTCTTCATAGCCACACCTGAGAAGTCTGAATGCCAGCGTCTGAGAACTCTTTAGAGTGTCTTCAGATTTTGCCACTCACCTTGGAAAGGTCCACCAGGGTATTGGCTTGGTCGCTCAGCTTCCTCTGCTCCATCTTGACGCTCCTCAGTCTGTGGGAAAGAGTCGTAACAGCCATCCTCTTCCAGTGCACGTTAAAGTTTAGCCCATGGGCAGATTCCACATCTACATCAATTCTTCTGATTTTGGAACCCTGCATGGAGACTTCGAATATGGGTGGCGACTGACCAGAATCAAGGACTTGTCAGGTCCCCCAGAAAGCAAACTTGTCTCCGTGCATGCTTTCCTGCAGCCACTTCAGTTTCCTCTCGACTCTCAGATCATTCCCCTGCTTCTCAAATGGTCTAGGCTGTGCCTTCCCCCTTAAAGGCCCTGCTCTCAGCCGTTTAGGATTTCCCAAAACCTCCAGGTCAGAATAGATGTTTTCATTCTCTACTTTTCCACTCTACTTTTTTAATGCCTCTCTTATAGAGAGCGCTGACCAGTTTGTTCTGCTTTGAGTTGTAATGTGGTATGTGTGTGTGTGTGTGTTCAATATGAGCAGCCTTAGAGACTCTTACTCTAAGTTTTACCTTCCAGAGCAGCCTGCCCAATGCCTGGCAGTGGCAGGTGCAATAGATGAGTCAACAGATTGATCTGGGTCAGTTTTACTGCCCCCCTGTGCTTACTGAGTAGAACAATGGATTTTCTCTGGGCCTCGAGGTAGAGGAAGATACTGATGGAGCTGTGAGGGTCCCACCACTCCTAATGTGGCCATCCATTGGCAGAGCTGCCCAGATACTCACTGGTGGATAGCCTGGAGGAACTTCCTCTGGTGTTTCCTGACTTTGGCATGGTCAATCTTCTTTAGCAGCTTCGTGTGTTTATAGATTAGCCACGTTTCCCGGAGGACGTTGGCTGCAGCATTCTTGATCTAAGGAAAAATAAATAAAGCCAGTTACCATCAGGTTAATTTTCCTGGGTTCACGTAGTATGTTTTTTGTGTTTTCTGATATAGTCTACCTTATAAGGAAATGATTCTGCGATGATTTATTTCCTTAATCAAATCACGAACTTAGAAACAATGAAGAAAATGCATCTCTTATTAATCCTGTATTGGACACAGTACACTGGAGCCTGAAGTTGAGGGGTGTTTCTTCTTTCTTAATTATTTCAGGACTGCCTGTCGGCTGCTGTTGCTGATGCTATATTTAGACAGGCTGCATTACCAAGACCTGGAGACCTGGGGCACCCTTTGAATCGATAAATATATACCATTGCTGCCCTTGCGTGCAGAGCTCCCCGTGCTACCTGAGACGTCCATTTACTGCACATGGTACATTTCTTGGATTCAGAGAGTAAACAGATTTCCTATCAGTTGGAGATTTTAAAAGGCCTCTTTGAGGAAATGTCTTTCCCACCGAATGGAACTATAGGTATCAACAAGTCCATTGTTTCCTTTCGCAAATGGCCAAAAACATTTACACTGCAATTTTACATGTAAATGTAATTGGCATAAAACTGAAATAATTTCAAAGCGGTGTCTGAAAATCAGAGAAGATCTTTAGGTGTGAAACCAGAGCTGTCTCCTTCCCGAGGCTGGCTCCTTTGCTGTGCACTGCAATCACACATTTCAACATATGACGCTGTCATCTGTTGACATGGAAACCACTGATATCACCCAGCTCGCGACTGAGCTGAGACATATCAATGGCATCCAGATGGCAGGGGACAAAGTTTTAATCCAAACACAGACATCTTCAGCAATTAGGAACAAGAGCAAGAGGAAACATTTCTTATTAAGCACAAGCTAAACAGAGTTTTGATGAGCCGTTCCTATTTCTGTCAGCCACGCAAATTGGCACAGGCCCACAGGCCCGGGGCCTGAAAGTCATTTGGCTGGTCTAGCAGAAATCAGGTTACTAGCCAGAAAGGATTTTAATAAAACTGGAGTGTACAGGCCTGCTTCTTCAGACTGACATCAACAGATGGGACGTTGTTAAAATACTGAGACGTGTGGGAAGGCCTAGGAAACATTGTTTTGCAGGCTGATAACTTTTGTGTGTGTGTGTTTTAAAAATTTATTACTAAGGCTGGATTATATTTTTCATTGGCGCTGAAGTGATGTTTTTAAAAGAACAGCTAAGTCTTCTCAGAAATGTCTAAGTGACATAAATATTGCTTTTTCGTTCAGTAAAAATCCGCTGTGAAAATGGTTTTAAATGACTTAATTGCCCACCTCTGGTCCTTTCTTGCCTGAAAGGAAGCAGGGGGTGGTGAGTGAAGCTGGAAATGAGGGGTGTCCAGGTGAGGAGGGGGAGGGGGAGGGGGAGGAGGGGCTGGTCTCTGGGGTTCTGTCCAAGGGCTGGCGCGGAGCAGCCTCCCGGCAAAAGATGCAGCTGGAAAGGGAAGCCTTGCCCTCCGCGGGTGCATACTACCGCCACCTTTTGTAGACAGAGGGCAATTTGATGCATAATTTCTTCAGTTTCCCTGGGTGCTTGGCCTCCAAGGAAAGCCTCACAGAAACACAGAAGCGAGAACCCTGCCCCGGCATTTAGGATGATCAGAAGAGTGCCAGTTACACGAGTCTCCTCTTTGGAATAATGATAGAGCCACGGAATGTCAGCTCCAATGGGCCTGTGACAACTGTCTCTGTGTTGGTGTGGAACAAGCATTTGAAATTGGAAAGCCTGCAGGTGAATCCTTGCTCTGCCAGTTATTAAGCAGCTCAGGAGTAAATGCTTAATTATCTATAAGATGGGAAAAATAAATCCTTACCTTAATGTTATGTTATGAGGCCCCAAGGAGGCAATGATGGTGGTGCTGACGGTGCTGAGGCTAACAGCTAACATTTACCAGGCGCCAGGCACAGGTCTGAGTACTTCATATGCATAACCTCACAACCCTCTCAGGCAGGTACTAATGTTATCCCCATTTTACAGATGAAGAAACTAAGACAGAGACCAAGACCATAAAGGTACAAATGGCAAAGTAAGTCAACGTGGATTTAAGTGTTATATAAACTGTAAAGTACCATACACACATTAATTATTATCATCTAGCCCCATTTAAAATACAAGGAAACAGCTTCAGAGATGGGCTGTGAGGACCAGAATCACACAGCTAGCTAATGACAAAGTGGAAACAAGAGCCAGGTCCAAGGAGAACATAAGGTTTTCATGTGGTCTGAAGAAAGACTGGACTAGATTTCATCTCTACACAAACAAAATTATTTCCTGTTTTCCAGGATCAAGGAATTGGAAAGGACATTAGAATTGCTTTTTTTTAATCATCACAGCCCTCACTTAGCAATACAGCAGAACAGGGAGCCCAGGGCCGCACCTGACTGCACCCCAAACGTCAGGTACTGAAATCACAGCTCAGCCTGGGAGCTGGGAGAGGCAGGCACATCATCTTTATGGGTCTGAACAGAAGGCCCCTGCGAATTCCGAAAAGGGATGTTAAATGCAAGCCTTGGTGCTGACTCTGAAATTAATTGCCAGCAAACAGTCTGGCACAAAGCTAAGTAGATCAATATCTGCAAGAGAAAAAGAAATAGGCTTTTAACTGCACTGTGCTCTCCCAAGTTGACAGTAAATGCTATTGCGACCAGGGTCTCCCTCCAATTCACCTGGCTGATTGCTTTGAGCATCCTTGGGGTGGGAGCAGTTGAGGTCGTGTGCTCCTCCTGGGATCTGCTGAGCCCCTGATTGGGGCTTGGGGACCCTCTGAGCTCTCCTGGTGGGCAGGGGCACCAGGACCAAAAGGAGCTCCGGGGGTGGGGGTGAGGGTGCGGTGGGAAGGACTGGGAAGGACTGAGCAAGCTTCGTCACAATCAGATGGGTTCAGGGATGATTAGAAGACGGTTGTTTTTGAGTGGAAGTCTGGCTGTTTTGTGCCCCAAACCCATAAGCATACGAGCTGACTGTTTTCTGTGGGTCCATACATTCTCTACCAAAAAATTGTAAGCTTTCACTCTGCTGGGGGCCAGAGAACAGGCTCGATGACCTACATACCTTAGGAAAGGCTGCAGGATTAATGGGCCTGGGTAATGGTAGTGCTAAGGTCATTCACCTAAGAGCTTGCAAGTAACAGTGACAGCTAACATTTACTGAGTGCTTACTACTGCCAGGCTCTGTGCTAAACACTTGATGCTTACGTTGTTTCATTAGCCCTGAGACACACCTCACAAATGGATGGAACTATTATCCCCTCCTTGGACCTGTTACTGAACCTCTCTGAGACTCAATTTTCTTTCTCGCACCTTCAAAAAACACTTAAGGGGCACCTACGATGGGGCAGATGCTGTTCTAGGAAGTGATAATATTGCAATGAACAAACCAATCACATTACTGCCCTCATGGAGTTTATAATCTGGTGGAGAAAGGATGCAGTTTGTAACATAGTATCAGGTAATACTGGCTTCAAAGAAAAATACAGCAGGGTGGGGGCTAGAGTGCCGCAGGTGATGCTGACCTGTGAAATGGGATTGTGGAGTTGATTACATGAGAATACACATAAAACAGCACAGAGCCTGGCCACGGTGTGCTTCAATACGTGACAGCTTTATTGATATTCTCCTGCTAATAAACATTAGCTTCTCCCCCTACCCCAAACAAAGCAAAACATTAAACAGACACATATGTCTGTTCCTGGAGCTCTTGGCTGTATCATCCGTGTCAACGGCTTGCTCTGGCCACCTCTCTGCCAGGGTAACCTGCCACTTGGTATTACAGAGGGGCTGTCAGTTGCCGGAGGAACACTTGGGACAGAATGAGAGAGGCCCCAGTCTGGGGTCCCCCGTGCCTCCAGAAGCCACAGGGAGACTTGGGAGTGTAATTCCAGAAGCCCCACTGGTGGACCCTCCAGGGAAGAAATCATTAGCATGCCCATTAGGCTGCCAGAATCCTTCCTGGGGAAAGGGTGTTCTACCTAAAGGTTGGAAAGGGGGAAGGAATGGAGGGAGGAAGGCAGATCAGGCCTGGCAGGTGGGTGTTCCACAGGCTGAATTTAGATTAACTGAGGGCTGATGAGCATCAGTCTGAGAACCTACAGGCCAGCGCTGTCTTCAGACATTTGACCGAAGGCGTCCATTATACACAGGACTGGGGAAGACGGCCATCCCCTCCTCCCTGTCTGCCAACCCCACTCTTCCTTCACCCTCAGCCCCACAGACTTCCTGCTGGCTTCTGTGGCTGCCATCTCTTTTGTCTCTCTGCTTACACACTCTCTCCTTCCCTCCCCCATCCTGTTCCCACTTCCTTCTCAGGCTTCTCTGCCCGCCTTACCCGGAAGCCCTCCCTGAACGCTTAGAACTGGGGGCTCCACCCCTGTGGCTGGTGGGAAGTTGGGGCAGGGAGCGAGGAGGGAGATACTGCTGTGGTTCAAAGTTGGAGTTTGAAGCTCTTTTCCCCAGAGCAGCATGGTAGTGAATGGCGGCTGATTCTATAATGCTATCAATTTGATGCTCAGCTCGTTTGGAGATAAACTGTCTTTTCTCTCCAGCAGGCCCGGGACCCTAACCACCATGCTGAGTTCCAAGGAGCTGACTGCTCTGGAAAACCCACTGGGTTATGGCTGGAGAGCTGCCTGCTGGCCTGAGAACAAACTGCAGCCCTGGCCAGGACCCAGCTAGCTGCATATAACTGGGAGCCCACCCTCGCCCATCTCTGGGCCTGGGAAGTTCATTCCTAAGAATCCTTCCAGCTCAAAAGCTCAATGCCTCTGACTATTGTTAAAGAAAAAAGGCACCCAACCTGTCTAGGACAGAACCTTTGTGGGTAATATAATTTACAATCCCCTCCTGGGGAGAATTAGCATTCCTGATAACTGCTCAATGGACTATCTGATAAATTTTAAAGACGTTAAGACTTGTTCTGGGAATCCACTCATGGGCCTAACCAACTGTCAGTCAGGAGTCCAGTGTCCTTTAGCCAGACTTTCTGCACCTCCTATAATGTCTACCATTGTCTTTTCCTATAACACCCCTGCTATGAGTAAATCTTTGAACTAGCCGGATGGAAAAAAAAATTTTTTTTCCAGGGGGATTGTGATAAACTTTGAAATATTCTTATAATCAAAGAAAAGTTTTCTTTAGCGCTGTTCAGTAGGTGCTGGGGGTTACTGAAGATTTTTGAGCAGGGCGGTGATATGTTTAGAGCTAAGTCTAAGGAGATCCACTGGGAAGCAGAACAGGATGTCTGAGATAAGTGAGGCCCGTAAGGACAGAAGGTAGCAAGTGGCTGTGATGGTACAAGACTGAGATGGTGGCTTCCAGCGTGGTGGGGCAGAGGGCCTGGAGAGGCTGGCGTGCGTGAACAGCCACGCCCATGGCCAGGTGAGTCAGTCTCAGAAACTCCTCCGGGGCTGGCCCCATGGCTGAGTGGTTAAGTTCGCGCACTCCGCTTTGGTGGCCCAGGGTTTCACCGGTTCGGATCCTGGGCGTGTACATGGCACCACTCATCAAGCCATGCTGAGGCGGCGTCCCACATAGCACAACCAGAAGGACCACAACTAAAATATGCAACTATGTACTGGGGGGCTTTGGGGAGAAAAAGCAGGAAAACAAACAAAAAAACAACAACAAAAAGAAGATTGGCAACAGTTCTTAGCTCAGGTGCCAATCTTGAAAAAAAAAGAGACTGCTTGGACTCCCGTGGGGTCCAGGGCAGAAAGGAGTCAGAGATGGCGTTAAGTTTCCCGGCCTGGAGACTGGAAGAACAGCAACGCCATTAGCTGACCAGGGAAGTCAGGAGAAGGAACTAGTGCAGGGAAGATCTGCGTTTGGTTCTGGTTTTACTCATTGATTTCACAGGGAAATGTACTTGGATGAAGTATTTGGGGCAAGAACCCCTGGTGGCAAGGATAAGGAGGCATAGTCCTCAGCCAGCGGCACACAGCCTGGTGCTCTCTGCGGGTCTGACACGGAAAGCAGGTGTGGCCAACAGAACGTCTCCTGTCCATGGTGCCTCTTAAGCCAAGTGGGTCCCTGGGCAGCCTACCTTGCTTTCTAGAAAGGAGACGTGCTCCTTGAAGGCAGGGACCACCTCGATGTCCCCAGAGCACAGAGTGTGGTGTCCGGTGGGTGACCCCTGTGATGAGTGTGTTTAATTACATAAAACAGAGAGATGGGGATGTGGAGGGTTGAGCGGGAGAAAAGACAGGGATCTAGTATCCTTTTCACAGTCTCTCTGTGTGTCATTTACATATATATTATTTAGTAGCCCAGAGGTTAGCAATAGATTATAATTATAGAATAACAATGGCAGTAACACTGCAAAGTCAGCTTGGGAAGATCTGATTGCATTAAATGCAGAAATGACATTGCTACCAGGGTTGACAAGTTATACAAGAGAAAGAAGAAAAGCCATGGGATTCAGGAAAATCAGAAACTGAGTTCTTACCCTGTGCTATCAACCACGCCCCCCATAAATAAATAAATAAACATAGTGTGACTCTTAATGGTAAAGGCGGGGCTGAAGCCTTTACAGGAAGACAGGCAGGATGAATAAACCCTAGAATGACTTGTGTATTTTTATGATTAATAGGTTACCATTTCTCTTTCTCTTTTTTCGCTTAGCGATTTAGTGTTTTAGTGTTTGAAGATTTGAGATTGCATGTACCTTTAAGAGACGGCTTCTATCTGTTAAATCTACTAATTGTGCACTCCTGAGAGGTTTGCAATTATGCTACAATCGTGGGTTCCTCCCACGATTGGATCTGTCTGTGAGAATTCACTGAGATTTTAGGAATGGACTAAGCTTAGCATCTCTTTGACCCACGGCCTAGCCATTTGGAGAAGCCAAAGGATAGGCGAGGCATTCCCGGGGGAAGAAAGGTGGGCTTCTCTGAGAGCAGGTCCAGGTGAGCTGAAGCCAGAGGAGGCCACGCTCGCTCGCAGCCAGCTTCCTTTCAATCAAGGTTACGTAAAAGAACCTTTGGAAGTCCCAGTCCTGCAGCTTTGAAAATCCTCCGTCTGTAAGAACCATCCCTTTTGTGTTTGTTTCTCTGGGAAAAAGATATTAGACATTAAAGGGACATTTCAACAGATTTAAGTGTTCTCAGAAAAGTGAGATGTTATTCGATTAAAAAGGTGCCTTGCATGCATGGATGAGCAATAAATATTTGTTGATTTGATTTTCAGTCCTAGTTTTCAAAAAGTAAGTGGACTTGAGGAGGATTTTAGAGAATCATTTTTGAAAGACGGAAATTAGCAACCACAGTCTTATCTCTTTCTACAATTATATTGCAGAAAAAATTGTTTATTTTCCTGTCGTATGAGGGAGCTGGCTTTGCTCAGCTTTATTTTCCTCTAGTATCTGATTTACAGAGTCAAAACCGGAGAGGACAAAAGAGCAACATGAAATACAAAGCAGATCCTTGGTTTCAAAATGCAAACCAGAATAAACAGAGAGACTGTTCACTGTCTGCTCTAAGAAAACAGCTTCCGAGAAGGTGTTCGAGGCAAATCCCTCTCGCCCTTGACTCCTGGACTGTTGTTTCAGGAGGATAGATGCAAGGATATTTGCACTGAGGTTCCAACAACTTTTGTAATTTGCTCAGTTCCGGCTATGACTTCTGCATGGGTGTTCGAGGGCTGAAGCAGAGCAGCTGGGTTACAAGGTTCTGGGTGAAACCCGGCTGACCCACCCATGGGCACAGCCCCCAGTCCTGCCACCTTGATGCTGCAAATTGGGGTTTCTTTTGTACAACGGACAGCTCAGGGCCGCGAGGTACTGAATTCACATCTGTACACCAATAACGTAAGACTATTTGCCTGTACCTGTTCCTTTTAACATCTGTGGAGGCTCTTTAAACAATCCGATACATGTAATCAAAGATCAGACAATCAAACACCATAAATAATTCTGCTAAGAAACTGGAGAGGCCTTGGCAACTGCACATTCTCCCACTGTCTTCCCTGAGAGCTGGCTCGCACTCTGTCATTCTCCCTCTCTCTTGTTCCCCCTTCCTGCCTTTGTCGCTATTTCTAACACATTTTTTACTGCGCTGCAACATTAATCACCGAATATTTTCTCTAGCTTTCAAAAACCCAAATCAAAATTTGGTCGCTCGTGGATCTCTTAACCCACTGGAGTCCTAAATGAGAAAGACTTGCTAGGCCAAGACCCCAGCACAAGGTTTTGATTCTCTCTCACCTCCGAGAGAGGAGAAGTTTGCAGGAAATCATATCACTGACCTTCGTTCAGCCTGCAGCTCTAAAGAATTTTCCATAAAGGCTGTCATTAAATAAACAGCTCCTGCCTTGCTCATTTGGCCTGCTGTTATCCTGGAAGGCTCATTTCTGTCTCTTCTAAATGGGCCTTTTCTTCTCTGACAATCCAGTGGGGTGTCAGACTTTTAGCAGCTAAACAATCTCCCCATTCCTGCATAATTTTCAGTTTGTCATCTCCTTAACCACTTTCATGAGGATACAAGTGAGAAACATTATCCGGAAAACCCGAAAGGGGAAAATCGGATGATGACATTTTGATGAACAGTATCTAGGAATGTGAGCTCTCCTGCAATGATCGTCTTTAATGATTTTTTTTTAAGGTCTGGATTTAGATACATTTCCAGGATTGATTTTAAGACTCTTTACTGCCCTTCCTAATGAGAATGGTGAAAATATTTGAGCATAAACAAAAATGTTGCGTCACGTTGGGCAATTTCTTGGGTACCATTAGGCAAAGGGGTGCTTATACCACTGTATACTGTAGATTTAATTAACAGGAGAATTTTTGGTTGCCTGAACCATGCACAGTGATTTAAGAGAAGACAGGAGCCTGGAGTGCCAAGCCATTGTGCCCAGTTTGTGGAGGCTGTTTGCATGTGTCTGGGGCTTCCTCAATCCTCCATTGCAAAGTGTGGCCCTGACTTATATCACATAACTACTTTCTTTCTGCTTGGCTTCCATGTTGGTCTTGAGTCCCCCATTCAGATGTGGACAGTGGTGTTTTACCCGTTTGGTGAGCTGAGTGTCCATCATGAAGTTGTGAACGTGTTTCTCCGCTTTGGTGAGTTCCAGCTTTCGGGCCACCACGGCCACCACCAGGGCAGTGCAGCCCGCACCCTGTGGGGGGACAGCAGAGGACCAGGGGAGAGAGCACATCATTAAGAGGCAAGGTTCAGAAGACTCAACGTGCCCCGTGCCCAGTGTGGGGTTTTCAGGAGAGGCCTGGGAACTTGAGCTCTTTGGCTGGTAAGGCCAAGCCACATAACCTATCAATCAGGGCCCCAATTCCTGCCCCCAGGAAGAGGTCTACAATGCTCTTGGCTTATGCTGCAGAGCCGAACTCTGGGAGACTTTGTCTTCATAGAACCAGTCAGTTCTTAATGGAGCAGGATCCTGGATGGGGCTGAGGTTTTGGGGAATTTAAAACAACAGACAATCACCTGGTCATCTGCCAGGCTGTGCAGGAAAGATAGAGGGTCCAGCACATACATGCCCTCTCTCCCTCATGCATATCCCAACCCCACTACCAGCTCCAGACCAGGGCGCAGGAGGAAAGAATGCCATGAATAGACTGGACTAAGGACGGAACACCTGCTGGAGGTGGAGAGTTTTCCTGAAAATAATCTAATGATGAGGCAATACGTTTTCCCCCAAGATTGCTTCCCAGGGAACACTGGTTGGCATGAGTACATGCATTCAGGGTTTTTTACCCGAAGGCCTAGGCTATGACTCAGCACAAGAAATCCACTCTTTCTTGCTTTCACCAGGAGGCTCATGAATTCTCCCTCATGCAGAGATTTTAAAGACAACAACCAGCCTCCTGCCTCAAACCAGGGTTTTAAGGGAACCCACAAAAGGCTCTCAGTATTTTCCAGAGCAGTGTTCTTATTCTGCTCAGGTAGGTCCGTTCCAGGGGAGCACAGGAGAGAGCGAGTCAAAGAAGCAGGGTTTTGCAGGACTCGTTTTCTGTCTCCTGATCCTCCGGGTGCATGTTTGACTGTCTGGGAAATGAGCAGAAAGGGGCGCATTCCAACATTCTCCTGCTGGATTTTTAAATCCTCTTCACTGTGCTTCTCAATGGGCCTGAGAGCACTGGAGGAATGGGGAGAATCACTCCTCCCCTGATTCTTCTGCAGGCAGCAGAAGTCAGCCCTGCCCTTGCCTGGTTCTTAGAAGAGCGTGCACGCTCGTGGGCGGACATCGCCCTCTTCCTGCACACTGGGCCCTGGACCGCCCTGACCTCCACTCGTGGAAAGAGAAGAGCAGCTCAGTGAAGTCACAGTCTGATCCTCTAGATGCCAATCAGTACTTGAAGTTGCCAAAGAGCCCACATTAGCAGTTGAGGTCCCAGGATTGAAGGAATCAATCAATGACATTTTTGGCTCATTGGGTCTAATAAAATGTGTTAGAAACAGAAAAGAATGTTTTTCAAAGGTACTTCAATCTATACCAGAGTTGGGAGAAATGCATATGGGTAGCTCAGTCCTCTCCTCTCTCCTTTATACTTTCTTTCTTCTTCCACAGGTTGGCAAAAGCTGGCCTGTGCAAGGTTACGGCGTGGCTGAAGTGGGCAACGCTTTCCCTTAGCTCTTCACAAGGGTTCCCAGTAAAACAATCTTGTGTTTCTTGGTACAGTTAGACATTTGGTCAGCCAACCCATTTCTAGCACAACAAAGTGAAAAGAACTGAGGCTGTGTGGACTTTCCTTTTCTGACCTAATTTTCCTCTTTTGTTCAGGGACAGCCGTGTTTTCTTGGCATCTGTGACTTGCAGGAGACTCTGTGCCCAATTTTCAAAGGATATGTATGGGCAGTTGGACAGCCTGGTCTGTAGCTGTAATCAATTTAGCTAGGCCTCCAAAAGCAAAAAATAGCTTAAAAGAAGCTGTCCTGGGGGAAGATGTGTGCTCCATTTCCCCTCAACCAGACCGACTATAATCCCTCTCCTTTATATGGAGTTCCAACAGTACTTTGGGTGAAAGCCCAAAAAGAGGGATATATCATAGTGTTAAAATGGAACATCAGATGGCGAGGGTTCTCCCCAGGCTCCATTCTCCCTCATCTCCCTGGGTCCAGGAAAACTCTATGTAATCACCCCTGAAAGCTGGGGGCAGCACAAGCCTGAAGAGGGAGTCTCCCTGCTCACCATGCCACTTTGGGAATTTTATCAAAACAACCACACAGCCACCATCCCGAATTCCAGGGTCCTGATGAAGCACTCCCTGTTCTTGCCAGAGCTCAAAGTCTAGCTGCTTGAATGCAGGGGGCTTCTAATTAGAAGCCAGTGTTTTAACTAAGGAACCATCTATCTTACATGATTAAGATAAATTTCTGCATGGAGGAAAGAGGGTAGACTAGATGATGTGTCCCAATTTCTCTCAACTTAAAGATGTCAAGACTCCCTTCTGGATATTTTTCCAGAGGATGCTGGGTTCTTAACCCCTAACTCTAACTTGAAGAGGTAGCAGTGGATACTCTCAACTTTATTTTTCTTTTAGAAAATCCATTGTCTGGATCGAATTAGGGATGTTGCCAACAACGAAGCCTAACTTGGTGATCTCTATTAAGAGGCAACCTTGTAAAGATGGGGTCAGACATCGGCAACCTTCACCCTAGTGGGTAGGGTGGGGCAGGGTGCTGAAATCCAGCCTGCTGGTCCTCTCCAGAGTGTGTGTGTGTGAGAGAGAGGAAGAGAGAGAGAGAGGAAGAGAGAGAGAGAGGAAGAGGGAAGAGGGAAGGGAAGGAAAGGGGAAAGAAGAGGGGGATGCAGAGAGAGAGAAAGCTGGAGCAGAGGCTGAGACCGGGACCAAGCTGTGCTGCCTCCTGAACAGCATGGAACAGGACAGAGAAAGAGGCAAGGAAAAAGCAGAGGAATAAGAAAAAAGGATGGGCTGATGGGGTTGAGAGAGAAAGGCAGGAAGAACAAGGAACCTGAGACTTGAGACAGAAGTTAATGGTCAATTTTGGTTCTTGAGAGGAAACAAAGGAAGCATTATGGGATCTCCCTCCTTCCTGCTGTGTTCACTTTTAAGTGGTATAATGATCACCGATGTTCCTTTGGGGACGATGGCCTTTTCACTTGGATGAGCTTATCAGTCTGTTGGAGCCAGGTTAGCAGCTGGGAAGGCTTGTGTGATATGGCAGTGATGTGGGTTGGTTTTAAGAGACAAATTGCCAAGGACCTGACTGATTTGGGTGTGTGAGAGCTCATGCTGTCCTAACGTGGAATCTCAGAAATGGCTGGTGGGCACAGGGGGCATGTGAGGAGAGGATGGAGTGGGACAGAAAAGGGTAAGCAGCTGCTGGAATGACTTCCATGGGGTCAGATCCTGGGGCAAATCCATGACTCAGACGTTTGCTTTCACACGTGCCAAGTCCTGAATCACAGTTGACACCAACTGGATTCCCTGGGTCTTCTCTGTCCAACTCCTATTTCCATGGGAGGATGGTGGAAGCGACAGGATCCACCTCGAATGAGGTCATACTTTCCAAGGTACATGGTGAGCAGGAGACAAGAGTGAGCAGAGAAAGGAACGGCTGGGATGGGGCGAACATGCCTAACTCATCTATAGATCTGAACCCAGAGACCCAATCTCCTCCACACGGGTCCTCCCACTTCTTGTTTCCAAGAAACATTTTCCAGCTGGAAAACCTTAGAATCTGGAAAAACAAGTATCCCAAGGGAAAAAGTATGAGGTGTTCTTAACTAAAGAAGCATAAAATAAAATAAAACATAAATGAAAGTGACAAATGGAGGAGGGAAGCCTGGAGGATTTACAGTTGGATTCTGTTTCTGCAACAGATTCCATGTAACAACTAAAATAACATCAATTGGTTTGAAACCAAGGTGTTTCAGGGAGAAGCTCATCTTCTAAAACTGACATTAAGCAGATGTCTTGCTGAGCCCTCTTTTCCCTCCTCCCCACATGACTCAATTTGTGCCACCTTTCGCTTCATCATCACTCTCCTTCTGCAGTTGAAAGAAGCATCTCTCATGAAGACTTGGGGGAAAGCTTAGTGTCCCCAACCAACCAAAAGGCCTTCAAAAGCACATCTTTAAGTTTCGTTGTCATTTCGGATTCTGGAGACTAAACATGGACAGCTTTCTCTCTGCATTGTAACTGTCATCATCCAATTCTTTATAGAAAGACGCTGGACTTTGATATATCTGCTTTTGTGGGTGAAATCTCTCAAACATCCCAGGTCTGTGCCAACAATGTCAAGTTGTTCAGACAATTATATACCCCGCTTAATGGTTGATAATTACACTGTTACTGGGATTGCCAAGAGAAAACAATGATTAAGACTATTTACAGCCGCACACACAAATCCTTCCTTTCCTTTCCCTAGCAGATCTTGCCTTGGCCTGCATGGTGTCCATGGTAACCAAACAGGAAGCCCTACCTTTAGTTAAGGCGCTTGCAATAATAATCGGGAGATGCACACAGCGGCGGGAGGCGGGGGAGGGGAGGAAGGGATTCTCAGCAACGTGAACCCCTGAAAGGAGTGACTCAGCTAGAAAAGTCACACTTGCTAGAAAAATGCCTCCAGGGTTCCTCACTGTGGCTGACCCCAGAGTGAGACAACTGACTTTAATTTGGGTAAAAACACTGACGGCGACTGGAGGAAACCTCCCTGTTCCTGCGCACAGAGAGGTATATATTTATGCAGCGGGGTTTTGTGCAAAAGGAGAAGATGAAAGGCATGTGCTGTATTTTTAATGTGGGAGGTGGGTCTCGGTTCCTCCTCATTCGTTTGTTCTTTCTACTTTGATCACACCTCTCTCCTCAAGGAACAACACACTCCCTTCCAAGGAGCTGCTGGAGACCCAGGAGCAAAAGAGGGAGCTGAAGACCAGCAGCCTGAGGAAGACCGCACCCCGGGGGAAGGCAGTGAGGGCGCCGCGGGGCCCTGCCTGCCCTGTGCAGCTTTGTCGGAGTAGAAGCCAGGAGACGCGGGAGTGAAGGACCCAGGGAATTGGTGCCCGTGGGGCCGGGGCTCGATGTGCACAGCTCCGTGCTGAGAGGGAGAATGGCTGGTATTTAAAAATAACAGAGGCTCCCAGCAGGGCCCATCCACCGATTGGCAGCCGGGCTCTATGCTGCCTCGGAGGCACAAAGCCTACGCCCCGGGAGCGGCTCTGAGACAGGAAAGCTTTAGCCTTCGGGCGGCATTTCATTCCTTTCTGGAAGGAAGAATCGTTCCCTGGTTTCCCGGTGACAGCTGGAGCTGTGCCAGACAGACTCCTACTAACCCATGGGAGGTGTTTGTTCTAAGGCCGTACACTTACCCATGATTTATCCCAACCCCGGCGCTAAGCCTTTTGTCATTAACTGCTGTTTCAGGCCCTGCCTGCTAACATGCACCTGCACCAGATTTTAGTTGCAAAGGGGAGAGGGCTGTGTCCAGTTGGGAAATGGCAGCACTGGACCCCTGCTGCTCACGGGGCCCACAGCCCACGGCCTCCTCTCCTCTGAGTGGCCTAAGTCCGGCTGCCTTGTTTGTCACTGAGATCGGTCCCAGGAGGCCACCAGGTTGCTGTGGGGTGGCAGTGGGGCAGCTTCTCCCCGCCCCAGTGAGGAGTTCACCCCGTGTCCACTGCAGAAAGGAGTCATTTCCCTCTCAGAAGGAGGGTCTTTTCTCCTCCCGAGAGAAATGGGGGTGATGAATGAAATCTGAGGGGGCACTGAAAGGAAGAATTTTCACGGGAGCATGATGGGAGCACAGAGGGGGCTGTAACCCCAAACCTAGAGACCTAGAACCAAGCCACAGACCTCTTGTTCACCCTCACAGCCCACCACTACCCCCACCATCACCCAGGCTTATATGTGTGCTTGCTTGTTTGAGCCTCAGTTTCCCCTTCTGAAAAGGGGACACCGTGTGTTCACTCTGTGTTCTAGGATCAAGGGAGGAGGTCAAAGAGCAGTGGCTGCCTGTCCTGGACCTAAAAAGCAGCAAGGCCAACTGGCCAGTGAAGGAGCGGTAGAGGTGGGGACATGAGGGGTCCGCCAGCTCCGAGGGGGTGTGCAGCTTCTCATTGCTGACAAAGCTCGGCAACAGAAAGCATTGAGATGGGGCCTTATCACCAGCCAGAGAGGAGGGCGGGGCAGGCCTTCCACCCCCACTTTATCCTGGGGAATGCTGAGCTCCTACAGGCTGAGCGCCCTGCACAGGGTCCACAGTCAGTGTCGGCATTCAGAGTCCACTTTGGACTTCCAACCCATATCCCTCCCATACACCATGCTATGATGGCCACGAGATGGGCAAGAGTGTGTGTCAGGGTTGGGGTTGCAGGGCGATGGCAGGAGAAATGCACCTTGAAAGGATGCAGCACCACTGCTGGGCACCTGGGAGAGACAGGGATGGAGTCACATCTAGCTGGACACCAGTGCTGGCAGGACCTGGCACTCAGAGGCCAGCACCTCAAAATGCAGATATGGAAGCTGAAGAATGGGGAACTCAAGAGCTGGCCCAGGGCCATGTAGCCAAAGCAGGACCCCAACCTATGGCCAACCCAGTCCAGGACACAGGTCTCTTATGGCCAGTTCCGTGCTCTTTCCCCAGTCCCTGCCTCTGTGAGTTCCTGTGAAACTTTATCAGACGTGGCACCAAGGTCTGTGGGGCCCAGGGATGGTTAAGTGCAAGCCCTGAGCCAAGTGGGCAGTCAGGCAGTGGTGGGTGGGAGCGGAGGGTCAGACCCACAGCCAGCTTCGCCCAGCCCATTTTGGGGGGCTGTGAAGAGACCATTAACTGTCAGGAACCAGGACCTTATTCCCGTCTTAGAAAAGGAAATGAAAAAGTGAGAAACTGTTGCAGATTGCGATCGCCTCAGCCTCTCTCTGAGTAGGGGCAGGCATGCTGGCCTGGTAACCAGCAGCTGGCCCCACTCCCCGAGCGGGAAGGCCTCTCTGTGCTCTCGACAAAGGGCTCTGCTCCTTGCGACCGTCTGAGGGTAGGGAAGAGACAGTGGGCAGAGGCAGTACTCACCATGATGCCAGTGAGGAGACAGACGCCCTTCCCACAGTACGTGTGGGGCACCATGTCCCCATAACCAATGGAGAGGAATGTGATGGAGATGAGCCACATGGCACCCAGAAAGTTACTAGTTACGTCCTGCTGGTCATGGTACCTGCCAAGGGGGAGAAAGGAGTCAGTCGATGGAGCTGCCGTTCCCAGGAGTAAAGGCTCTGGGCGACCTGGACAGGGGAGGAAATGCCGAGAAGGAGACAACAGCGATGGTGGCGCGCACATCTCTTCAGGCGATCGAAGGGGCGCCGCTCTGCCCACCCGGGGTCTCCCACAGCTCCCCGTCCCCTCAGCCCCCCACCATGAGTTTGGTCCCAGAGGGAAAATGTTTTGTCATGATTTGTACCCTATTGGAGACGTCCTTTTGGTGTTGGTAAAATAGCTTTGTGTGAAATCATGCAGTAATAAAATTTAGATTTTCCCTTCCAAGTCGACAGTCTAAATGTATGTGGAGTGATTAATCTGAAATCACAAGCTCCCGAACAGGGAAAATGTCAAAAAAAATCACCAGACACATTTAGCAATTTCCCATAAGAAGGTTGATGGATCCCACTGACTGGCAACTCCTGAGTGTCTGGAGAGAAGCTGCGGCGGCCGGGGCTCCCTTGCAGTGGTCCCCAGGGGAGGCTCTGGGGTCTCTGCAGAGAGATGGCCTCCTCTTCTGAGCTAGACAGAGGCTCATGGCTGCCCCGCCCTGGGAGGAACCAGCTGGAAGCGTATCACCACCATTCCCTCTGCCCGATGCCCTTCCAGCCCATCCTTTTCCTCCCTCCCTTCATCCCCAAATACCAAGGCCACTGTGTGCCAGGCTCTATGCCAAGGACTGAAATACAAAGGTGAGCAGGACACAGCCCTTGCCCTCAGGGCTCTCAGCCCAGGGGAGGGGTCTGTCCAGGACACAGACATTTGCAGAAGGGTCGATAAGTGGGTGGATGAGGCACCTCAGGGACTAGGGGGTGTGTGTGGGGGGCAATGACCTTGATGACCTTGATCCAAACACAGGAGGGTTAGTCAGAGGCTTGAGTTTTCCAGGCAGGCCACGGGGAGGGTGTTGCAGGCAGAGGGAACGTCCTTATGAAAGCCTGGGCCTGACAAGTGCAGCAGGTGAGCGGGGTGCACCTGAGGTGGCAGGGCAGGTGAGGGTGGGTCCCTTCTCAAAAAGATCTCCAACAGGATCAGCCTGAATGACACACAAGGGACTCTGTGTTTTGTCCTGATGAGATCTCCCCATCAGCCTCCTGGAGGCCATTGGACGGGAAAGGTGGGACAGGGCCAAGGAGACAAACCATCCTGGCAGGAGGCAGCAGAAAGCCATTTAGGAACCTTAATCCGCAGAACTGAGTTACCAACGAGGCTTACATGAATGAATGCACATGATGGGCTCGGGACGGGGTCCGGCACAAGGAGGCCCCCAGAAAGTATTAGCTACTATCATCAGCGGTCTCCACGCCCCCATGGGGGCTGGTGCCCAGGGAGCAATTGGCAAATGCTGCTTCTCCTCTCCTTGTCCCCTAGGTCAAGTGTGCAGGGGAGGCTGCAGACAGGTGCATCTGGAGACCGGCCTGGAAGGAGAGAGAAGCTCTGCTAGTCAGAAGGGAGGTGGAGGGCACGTGACTAGGGGAACACCAAGGGCACAGTATACGGATACCATTTATTAACTCTTATTGTATTAGTGGGAGTCACACAGCACAACCTACTGTGTGGCTGGCACTTTGTATACAAACACTTTTTCTAATTCTCACAACATCCATAAAGTCTTCTACAGGTAAGCAACTGGAAGCACAGAGACATTCAGTGACTTGCCTGAGGACACACAGGAAATAACCCAGCCAAAGCCCATGCTCCTTTCGCTGATCCCCTGGGCATCAGAGAGGCAGAAGTGACTGCTGTGTGTCGTGGGGGATGATGAGGAAGTTTTAGCGAGAGGAGGATACCTGGGTTCCCGTAGCAGGTGATGAGGTGGCTTCAGAAATCAGGGGTCCGATTTCGGAAGGCCTTGAATTCCAGGATAAGGGGTTTGGATTTGGTCTTAGAGGCCTTGGAAGGGATTGTAGGTTCTTGAGCAGAGGAAAGACAAGATGACATGGCCTGCTGGGAAGAGTGGTCTGCAGGTGGTAGCAGGGTGTTTCAAAGATGGAACACAGAGGTGGGGTAGCCAGGTGGGTAGCAGGCATGCAGAGCCAGGAAGGAGGTGCAGGCGGCCGCCTTCATTGCCCACCTGAGCCTGGTCCTAGCAGATCCCAGTGAGTACATCATCGGTGGGCTGTCCGGCCCCAACGCGAGTCGTCTACCAGCAACCAGAGGGGTGTGGCATTAGCCTTCTCATAGCTGTCTGCACAAGGGCACGCATGCCTGGAACTCCAGGGCGACATGGGCAGAGCAGACATCCCCTCCCCAAAGCTCTGCTGAGAAGACGCCTCACCTGCCCTCTCCCACCTGCTTCACTTGCTCCCCAGCGATAGGGAGGGCACCCTGGCTGGCTGCTGCTTCTGGTCAGCCTTGGAAGTTGCACACTGGAGTAGCACAGGCCGGTGGTGCCCATCTCTGACCCCCAGGATAGAGTGTGCCCTGGCCCTGCCCTCTGACATGGTCTGGGACGGGTAGCTGTCCTCCCCACCCCATTTGCCATAGCCCTGGGGCTCTGCCAGGCCCTCAGGCCGACGCATTCCCTCCACTTCCGGCATGCTGCTCTCCAGCTGGGAGGAATGGTGGCAGACCTCGGCTCTCAGGGCCTGGGCTGAAGTAGTGGTGGAGAACCCTTCCCTGGAGGGATGGACTTCGGAGTCTGAAGCAGCCAGACTCAGTGACAGATTGAGTGTGGGGGCAGAGATGGGGGAAGACTTAAAGACAGCTCCGTGCCACAAGCCGGCAACACGTAAACGAGCAACAAGAGTCAGAGCTGGGCTCGTCCGTCCATCAGAAACCATTTCCCGAAAGAAGCCTTGGGTCAGGTCTGAGGACAGTGAGGTTGAGCAGGTGGGTAGAGGGGACGTGAGCCTGTGGTCTCGGGCTTGGCTCACCTGGCTTCAAGCCCCAGCTCCACCTTAAGTAGCTCCATGGATGTGGGTGAGTGACTTGACCTCTCTGTGACCCAGTTTCCTTATCTGCTGGTGGGAGGATTAAGGAAAATAATCCACCAGCCATGCTAGCACGGTGCTCAGCCCCGAGGCGGCATGCCACGTCAGCGGTTATCCTTGCAGAGAGGCGGCAGGTGTTACAGTCTGAGAAACAATCCATAGAAAAGTATAGGGGCGAGATGACAGGTGCAGGGGGAGAGGGTCCCAAGCAGGGCGTGGTAAGAAGTTCATGAAGATGTCTTGGAGTTGAGGCTGGAGAACTATCTGATCCAGGGATGAAAGGAACCTATTGTAGATTCTTGGACAAAGAAGGGACATGAGACACTTGGCATCTGAGAATGATTCTTCTAGCAGCTACATGCAAGACTGATTAAAGAGGGCAGGCCCCAGACAGCAAGAACTGCTAGAAAGTTTGCAGGTGCCCAAGAAGAAGCAATGGAGAACCTTGAATGCCAAACCATGGGGTTTGGATTTAATTTGTAGCCTGGCTTCTGTGTATATTATTGGCTTGCTGTGCTCACGTGTCTCCACCATCCTCCTTTCCTTGCAAACCCTGAGGCTTAAACTAGCGTTCCCTGGCTGCTCGGCTGCCCTCAGGACCATGGACCAGCCTGTTCATGTGTGGGTGGATCCAAAGTAAAGAAATTAGAGCTCAAAGTGGAATTAAGTACATGCAGCGATAGGGAACCTGTGTCTCTTTTTTAAATTGATGCTTGATTTACTGCTTTATTTTTCTCTAAATTCCCTTTACGTTCTTATGGGCTTCTTTTTCATTCACCGTGTGTAATCCTATTGGTGCTAACTGTGGGTGCTGAGAACAGAAGTAGATCTTGAGGTTGTCATTCACTCATTGTTTGTCAAACTTCAAATCTCAAACTTCAGACCTCCCCTGGGCGGGGGCCATAGAACATGCGGAGATGAATGCGACACACACCCTGCTCTCCCTGTGGCTTGGAGCATCGTCATGGAGATAAGACACACATGCAACTCACCAAGCAGGAAGTGATGAGCAAGAGAGTCAGGCTGGTGATTCAGGACTGTGGGAGTGGAGAGGAGGGAGAAATTGTTTCCAAACCAATTCACAATTTTACAGAGGTTCACACTGGTCACAAATTCATGTACTAACCTCATGCTATTTTTTGCAGTACAGAATTTTTTGGAGAAAATAGTTCTATGCTTTTCCTTAAGCGCTAAGGGCAAAAAGGTGTAGTTGTTTTTTATTGTTCTTATCTCTACTTTTTGCCAAAGAAGATTCACCCTGAGCTAACGTCTGTTGCCAAGCTTCCTCTTTTTGCTTGAGGAAGAGTCACCCTGAGGGGCCAGCCCCATGGCCAAGTCGTTACGTTTGCGTGCTCTGCTTCGGCAGTCCAGGGTTTCGCGGGTTTGGATCCTGAGTGCAGACATGGCATCACTCGTCAGACCATGCTGAGGCAGCGTCCTACATAGCAGAACCAGAAGGACCTACAACTAGCATATGCAACTATGTATTGGGGGGCTTTGGAGAAAAGAAGGAAAAAAAAGAAGATTGGCAACAGATGTTAGCTCAGGAGCCAAAATTTAAAAAAAAAGAAAAAAGAGTCACACCCTGAGCTAACATCTGTGCCAGTCTTCCTCTGTTTTGTATGTGGGTCGCTGCCACAGCATGGCCATTGATGAGTGGTGTAGGTCCACACCTGGGATTCAAACCCAGGCTGCCAAAGTGGAGGGCAACGAACTTAACCACTAGGCCATGGGGCTGGCCCCAGGTGTAGTTTTTTTTTTAAAGGTGGTTATTATAGTTATTAATTTATCATTAGGGTGTGGACTTTGGTTTTTTCACTTTTTAATATTATGAAATAAATGGTAGATATGGAAGACTGTCTGATTGGGCAAAGATGGTGGATTAAACACACGTTTACTTTTCTCCCTCCTTAAATCCCTCCGCAACAGTTTCAGTCCCCTGCTTTTAATAAGAAGCAGACAACCAGGAATCCCCAGACATCTGAGGAAAGTTTCTAACAGTAAAGACACAAACCAAATCAGTCAA